TAGGGTAGGCTGACTGCATGCCACAGGGGTCCTCCTGCTTCTGCCTCTCCTATACTGGGATGACATTATCACCTGACAGGGATGACATATCACTTGACTGGGATGACACATCCCCTGACATATCACCTGGATGCAGTTTGTGTTGTGTTTGGTTTTGTTTTTTTGAAACAGGATCTATGTAACCCTGACTGTCCTAGAACTCATAGATCTGTCTGCCTCTGCCTTGCAAGTTCTAGGATCAAAGATGTCAGTTACCAAACACAGTGAGGCTTTTTGTTTTTTAATGTGGGTTTTGGAGACTGAAATTCGGTCATTATGTTCTTGCAAACCCTTTATCAACTGAGCCATCGCCCCAGCTGCCACTCTGTCACCCCTAGCTTATCTCAAACCCTTTCCCTCACCACTGCTGCTTTGCTGCTTAGTATCAGTGTGACCGGGTATTTTCCCCTCTTTGTGATTCCAGGAGGCAAGCCTTTGTTGGAGACAGTCTCACAGTATCCCAGGCTATCCTGGAACTCACTAGGTAGCTCAAACTGACCTTAACTCAAGATCTTTCTTCTCTGCTTCCCAAGTGCTAGGTTTACAAAAGTGCAAGTAAGTGAGTCTTAATGCTGACCTTGATACCACCTTGGTCATCAGGTTTATTCAGGTATGGGAATGTCATAATTCTAGTTCATGAGACATGGGGGTGATCCACTTTGATATGTTTATGGAGGTTTCCCTTGCTCTCAGAAAACATGAGGAATGGGAGTGACTTTGTGGGTTTTGTTTTGTTTTGTGTTTGTTGCTTTTTGAGACAGGGTTTCTCTGTGTAGCCCTGGCTGTCCTGGAACTAGCTCTGTTGACCAGTCTGATCTTGAACTCAGAGATTCACCTGCCTCTGCCTCTCCAGTGCTGGGATTAAAGATGTGCTCCACCACAGCCCAGCAACACTGTGATTGTAAACTCCTCAAATGTTTTTGAAGTGACACTGCAGCCAGGGTAGCAGAGCTTCGAGCCATGGGCAGCCTCTTGTAGCAAAAGCATGGGATTGTGTACCATTGATAAGCAGCAAAAATGACAGGCCTAGTGGATTGGGTGGTAATTCCAGCATTTGGGCAGCTGAGGTGTGAGAATTGCCACAAGTTTGAGGACAATTTTGGGATACATAGGGAATCCTAGGCCAGCCTAGGTTATAGTGAAGAAACCCTGTCTCAAAGAGAAAAGAGAGTCAGGAAGTTTCAGGAAGATGGCCCTGGCCCAGAGAGAAAAGACTTTTTTCCCTCCATTTTATTTATTTATTAGGTTTTTTGTTTTTGTTTTTGGAGACAGGATTTCTCTGTATTGTTTTGGAGTCTGACCTGGCCTCCAACTCAGAGATCTGCCTGCCTCTGCCTCCTAAGTGCTGGGATTAAAAGCATGCATCACCACTATCTGGCTGAGAATCAATATTAAAATGGAATGGGCCAGGCATGGTACATGCCATTAATCCTTGCAGTCCAGAAGTCTACCTAGAGAGTTCCAGGCCATCATGTGCCACCACTGACAGGCTATAGTTTTTGTTTGTTTTGTTGTTTTTTTCATAAGCAAGATGATACTGTTGACCAAAGGGTTTATTGATCTAAACCTAGGGATAAGTTTGTGCTAAGCCAGTCATCCTCTCAGTGATACCAGAGAACTTGAAGTATTCCTGAGCAAGCCTGGAACAGTCTTGTTGTATAATCAAACTCACCATTCTGCTTATCTGAGAGTTAAGAAAAATCAAACAGGGGCTGGAGAGATGGCTCAGAAGTTAAGAGTACTGGCTGCTCTTCCAGAGGTCCTGGGTTCAACTCCCAGCAACCACATGGTGGCTCACAATGATTTGTAATGAGATATGGCACCTTCTTCTGGTGTGCAAGAGTACATGCAGGCAGAACACTGTATACATGATAGATAAATCTTTAAAAAGAAAAATCAAACAACTTGTAGAGAGGTACATTATCTTTGACATCTATTCCAGAACACACATGTTCTTCAGTTGCCCTCCTTGATGCCCCTAGTTTACTATCTGATATATTTTTCATATCCTTTGAGCTCACTACCCCCAAAGCAAATATAGTTTCCTTATTTCCCACTCCTACATCACCCTGATTTTTAAGGGGTATCTCATAAGGGACTTGGTAGGTTCACCTGTGTGTGTGTGTGTGTGTGTGTGTGTGTAGCAGTAGTAGTGGTAGTTATAATAGTAGTAGTAGAAGTTGTCCTTTCCCTCCTCTAGAATTTCTCTAGGTCCCCTTTTCTCCTTCATGTTCCAGTATTGTGGGATATTTGTACACTGTGTGAAGATGTATTGCTGTGATTGGTGTAATAAAAAGCTGAGTGGCCAATAGCTAGGCAGGAGGTATAGGCAGGACTTCTGGGCAGCAAGAGAGAATTCTGAGGAAGTAGGATAGGCAGTATGGAATGAGGTAATGCCACATGGCAAAATGTAGATTAGTATGAATGGCTTAATTTAAGTTATAAGATCTAGTAAGACAAGTCTAAGCTAAGGATACTCTTTCATAATTAATAAGTCTCTGTGTCATCATTTGTGAGTTGGCAGACCAAAGAAAAGTCCAGAGCTACTCTCTCTAATGAAGTTGTAACATGGTTTAGGACAAGAGTAGAAAACAATTAAAACATCCTTGATTTATTTTAGATCGTCAAAAACAAGATAAAATCACTTAATACTCTTACAAAAAAATGAATTCAGTTTCCAGCTGTTGGTAAACCAAGACTTACCCACTTGTGAACGTCAGGACATAACTTGTGAGAGTCAGATCCCGCCTTCTACAATGGGATGGAACTGAGGTCACTGGACTTGGTAGCAAGCATCCTCGCCAGCTGATCCTTCTCACTGGCCCCATTAACTTCTTGAGCTTTTGCTATATGGTTGATGCCCTTTACATTTATCTTTCACTATGTTTTTACTGCATAGCCAAGTCATATAAAAATCTCAAAAGTAGCCCTTTTAATAGACTTGAACAAATCCCAAGCTTGTCTACTTTCAGATCACTGTATTAATAACCTACAGTTCTCTTTATTCCATAGATTAATTCACTTGATTAGGTTAACTGCCCACACTGGCTGTCACTAATATTACAGATCTAGCAACTAGATAAGATGGATGGATGAAGCTACATTTTCAGATGTGGGAATGTCATTACACTTTGCTGAAGGGACTCATTTTAACTTCCATAAACCTAGGAGGATCTGGAAACATAGTTTATTGGTATAGCATTTGCCTAAAGAAGCCTGGATTCAATGCCCTATGGAGACTGTATTCAGTTGCTCACATCAGAAAAGCAAAGCCAGCCAGTAGATATTACCTCTACCTCAGCTCAGACCAAAGGGGTGATCCTCAGACTGCTCCGGACTTCACTGTTCCTCAGACTCACTCAGACTTCTATGCTCATTGTGACTGGAGACTAACTCTCAGACTGAATACCTTTACTTTTTACACTTCTCATATCCTGGGATTAAAGGCATGAGCTCTGATTTACTCTCCAGTAGCCAAGGGTGGTTTTGGACTCAGAGATCTGTCTACCTCTTAACCCGAGTCCTGGGACTAAAGGTGTGTACCACTGCCTGACCTCTATAGATTGAGGCTGACTTTGCTTTCTAAATCCTCAGGCAAGCTTTAATATATCATAAATAATATATCACCACACCCATCTCAAACAAGGTGGACAGTGACGACCTCCATCAGAGGTTGTCCTCTGACCTCCACACACACCTTTGTATGTGTGTGTTTGGCTTCACACATTACATACTCAAAGATAAAGGACATCAAGCATGAGTGTGGTTTTGATAGAGTTTAACTTTGGCCTGATCCCCACAGAGACCCCCCCCCCAAACCCTGGTGGAGCAACTGAATCAGACTTTTATGGGGAGAAGTCCTGAATGAAGCAATTGCAGTCTATGAAGAATCACAAGCACTTAGTAGTTAAAAACGGTTTGGCAGCTGGGCAGAGTGGGTGGGGCTAAGGAAATGGCTTGGTTGGTAGTCTAAAATGCATGAAGTCCTGGGTTTGATCCCTAGAACCACATACAATCCAGCACAGTGGGACACACCTGTGATCCCAGCACTGGGAGGTGAAGGCAGGAGAATCAATTCAAAGTTATTGCATGAGTTGAAGTTAGCTTGGGTCTCTACACCATCACACTGTGAATAGGTACACAAGGGCCAAATTCTTTAATAAAAGTTGGTCTCATTCATTAGACAGACTTAATTGTTCACCTTCTCTGTACAATAAGCCAGTCCACAGATCAGCCTGTCTTTTCTTCTGTCTTCCCAAAGCCCCTCTCCTTCTGAACATTACGTGTTTGACCAGCATCACTCATCTCTCATAAATTTACAATTTTTCAATTAAAAAATTGGGTTTTTTTTTTTCTGTTATCCCCACCCCAACACACACTTTTTTGTTGTTGTTTTTTTCAAGACAGGGTTTCTCTGTGTATCCCTGGCTATCCTGGATTCACTCTGTAGAGCAGGCTGACCTCGAACTTACGGAGAGCTGTCTGCCTCTGCCTCTCAAGTGTTGGGATTAAAGACATGTGCCACCACTGCCCGGCTTTCCACTTTGTATTTTTGAGATAGGTCTCATTGGCTGAACTGGAACTCCAGAGATTTGCCACCACACCTAAGTCAAACTCTTTAAAAAAAATTATGTGTGTTTGTGTATGCAAGTACCACAGACCATGTGTGGAGGTCAGAGGACAACTTGCAGAAGTCAGTTCTCTCCTTGCACTGTGTTTCCTATAGACTGTACTCAAGTTGTCAATATCAAGACTTGGTGGCCAGCCCTTTCACCCATTGAGACATCTCGCTGACCCTCGCCCGCCCAGTACTTTAAACTAGCTGACATTGTTGCCAGTATAATCAAAATGAAATCAAGTTGGGCTTCAAGGAGAAGCTGCAGGTTGGAGGCAGCAGCAAGAGCACATCCTACCCATCCTCTGAACCCCAATTTTGCCACAGAGAGAAACTTGAAGTCAACTTCTTTTCAAAGGGTTTAATACTCAGGATGGGAACAATGACTGCAGTGGTTGGGATGATCATTTCTAGAAAAGGTTCTTTGCTGAGGTACCAAGATGGGTATCATGCCACAGAGTTCCTTTCACTGCGAGATTCTCTGACTAGCTATTGTTGAGGTGGGAAACTACAAGTAAGCAGATTTCTACTGTACTCATGAGGCTTCTCTGTTATTTTCTGAGTTTCAAATAAACAATATCAAGGCTTCCCTTTGTCCACAGTACCCAGACGTGTGTCTGTCTCTGTCTGTCTCTCTCACTCAGGGGTCTTACTATGGACCACTGGCTGGCCTGGAACTTGCTATGCATACCAGATATTTGCCTGCTTCTGCCTCCCAGGGCTTACAGGCGAGCACCACCATAACTAGCCAGAGGTTCTCTTTTCATCTAGATTCCCAAGCATGAAGATGCCAACCAGAATACTCCACCAATGCTACAGTTTCCCCGAAGGCTGAGTTCTACCTACAGGGTTTCCCCTCGCCTATAGGTTTGATGGTTAAAATGGAAAAATTCTTGTTGTCATTACATTTATGACAGCCATGCAGGGCTTCTCTAAAACCAGGCTGGTTCCCATTCCTTTGTGCGTCAAGTGTTTAGGAATCTGTCCTCTCATGGCTTCTCAGATGTTTAAAGAGGCTACAGCTCCAACTGAAGCTCATTCCACATTCTTTGCACTGGAAGGGCTTTTCACCAGTGTGGATTCTCTGGTGCTGACTGAGATGAGACTTCAGACTGAAGCCCTTTCCACATTCATTGCACTGATGGCATTTCCCACTGGCGCAGGGTTTCTGGTGTTGTTTTGTGTGGGGACACTGGCCAGCACTGTCTCTGCATGCCTCACCTTTCTGGGGTTTCTCTGCAGTGTGAGTTCTGTAATGCTGAATAAGGTCAGAGCTGTAACTAAAGGCTTGCCCGCAGGTATCACACTGGTAAGGCTGCTCCTGTAACTCCAGCTTCTTATCTTCTATTACTGCCAAGTTCCAGCTGTAGGCTTCTTCACAGACACCGTTCTTCTCGCTTTTCTGGCCCACATGGAGCACTTGGTGTTCCAGGAGGCTGACGTACTGGAAGAAGATTTCTCCACACTCTTGGCACTGGTGGGACTTCTCTCTGGAGTGGAGTCGGAGGTGACCAGCGAGATGGGAACGCCTCCCAAATCCCTTCCCACATTCATTACACTTGAAGGGCCTCTCCCTGCTGTGCACACTCTGGTGCTGAACGAGATGGGACCTCACTCGGAAGGCTTTCCCGCATAAATGACAGGTGTAGGGTTTTTCACCCGTGTGAACTCGATAGTGCTGAGTGAGGTGGACACGTTGATTGTAGCTTTTCCCACATTCCTCACACCTGAATGGTTTCTCCCCAGTGTGGATTCGCCGATGCTGGATGAGGTGTGCACTCTGAATGAAGCTTTTCCCACACTCGTTACATTTATGTGGCCTCTCTCCTGAGGAAGACTTTTTGTGGACATAGCTGAAGTCATTGCAATTCATCCTCTTTGAAGAGGGTTGTCCTAGGATTTCTTTCATGACAATTCCCTGCTGTCTACCTGTCCTATCTTGGTGTTCATAGCCTTCACCATAACCTTGAACCTGAGAAGCATTACTCTGGATTTCTTCTGATAGTTCCATGTCTGCTTCTGAAAATTCTGGAATTTTCTTAACGTTCAGTTTAGTGTTCTTACTTCTTTTGTCACTGCCTAAAGTGAAGAGCAAACACAAAGTTCATTAGCTCTTTTACAGAACAAGAATGAAATGTCAGAAAAAAATGTGGCATAACAGGAATAACAAAAGGAGATATATATCTCTACCTAATGCCAACAGCAATGAAAAGAACACCAGTATTGAGCCAATGAAAAGAAGCAGACAAAATACAAAACAGGGCTGGAGAGACAGATGGCTCAGTGGTTAAGAGCACTGACTGTTCTTCCAGAGGACCCAGGTTCAATTCCCAGCACCCACATGGCAGCTCACAACTGTAACTCCAAGATCTGACACCCTAACATAGACATACATGAAGACAAAAAAAAAAAACCCAATGCACATAAAATAAAAATAAGTAAATTAAGAAAAGTGGATGGGGGGAGAGACTTATTAAGCCAGGAATAGTGGCACCTATCTGTAATCTCAATAGCTGAGCGGCTAAAGCAGGAGGATATTAGGTTTGAGGCTAGCCTATACTACATGAGCTCAAGGCCAGCCTGGGCTACATAGAATGAACTGAGAAAGGGGGTGTGAGGAACTGTGAGTATTGACTCACTGTTACAGTCCAGCAGTTGGAAGCCTGAGAAAGGAGACTTGTAAATTGGAGACCAGCCCTGGCTACATAGCAATCCTAAGTGCTCAGGAGGCGGAAACAAGAGAATCAGAGATGCAGCGTCATATCTGGCTACATAGTCCAAGGCCAGCCTGGACGACATGAGATGCTATCTCAACAGACAATGGAAAAATAAATATTTTAAAAATGTTTAATCTTATATTAAGAATAAAGTAAGTGCTGGGCAGTGGTGGTGCATGCCTTTAATCCCAGCACTTGGGAGGCAGAGGCAGGTGGATCTCAGTGGGTTCAAGGTCAGCCGGATCTGCAAAGTGAGTTCCAGGACAGGTAGGACTGTAGCACAAAGAAACCCTGTCTTGGCCCCCCCCCCAAAAAAAAAAGAAAGAAAGAAAGAAAGAAAAGAAAAAACAAAACAAAGAGTACTCTCTGGCCGTTACCACAACTCATCTGTCTTTTGGGGTTTTTTAGTTTGTTTTTGTTTGTTAGTTATCCTTTGAGAGGGTCTGACTATGTAGCTCTGGCTAACCTAGAACTAAGTAGACCAGACTAGTTTTGAACTCATATCCATTCTCCTGCCCCTGCTTCCTGACTGTTAGAATTAAAGTTGTATCCCACCCTGCCCAGCCCATCTGTTCTTCCCTACTAAGCTAACAAATCATCGTTTACTTCTGGCCACTCCCGGAACACATGCTCCCCAGACTTACAACTTTGGGATTTCTCTCGGAAGTGGCGTTTCAGATGCTCGATCAGGTGCGAGTGACGACCGAAGCTCTTGCCACACTCGTTACACCCATAGGGCCTCTCTCCACTGTGGACGCTGTGGTGCTGCACCAGGTGGGAGCTCACTCGGAACGCTTTCCCACACACCTGGCACTTGTAGGGCTTCTCGCCAGTGTGGACTCTCTGGTGCTGAGTGAGGTGCACCCGCTGATTATAGCTTTTCCCACATTCCCCACACTTAAATGGCTTCTCTCCCGTGTGGATTCTCCGATGCTGGATGAAGTTGGAGGCTTGGAGGAAAAACTTGCCACAGTCAGCGCACCTGTGACCTCGCTCGCCATTTGATTTTTGCTTCCGGCTGACACCCGGGCCTGAGTTCAGAGCTCTTTTCTGCCTTGACTTCCCCACAGTGGGATTCACCTGCCACCTCTGCATCATGTTCTTCAGGTCACTGCCGTCTGCAGCCTCTTGACTCTCAGCATCAGCACCATTCTTCTCTGCTGCTGCCCAGTGTGAGTCCGCTCCATCGGAAATCTGCTGTGCTAGGAGCTCTGAGTTGCCCTCCCTGCGCTCATAATCTGAAATGAGAGCAGGAAACCGGGTGATCAGCTAGTAAACACAGTGCAGGAAAGTGACAGAGGGACACAGGATAAACGAGGGAAACACACGTGTTAGGAATGCATGGCTCTGGAAAATGACAATACCGGGACAGGATCGATATCAGTGCAGAGGGCTAGGGAAGGAAGCTCAGTTGGTACATCGCTTGTCAAGCTACAAAAAAGCCCTGGGTCCCAGCCTCCAGTTGTGGTAGGGTACACCTGTAATCCCCACACCTGGAGGTAGAGGCAGGAGGACCAGAAGTTCAAGGCCAGCTGAGCTACATGAGGACCTGATGACAGAATAAGAGGGAAAGGAGAGAGGGAGGAAGGCATTGGGATGGCAGGTATGACAGTGTGTCTCGTTCATGCAGTGATAGGGGTGGCTCTCAGGCCTCGGTGCATTCTAAGCACTCAACCAATGGAACTACAGATAAGTCTCCATTTATGTACTGATTTCTTTAAATGTACTTTCAGATGTGAAGAGTATTTTATAAACTTCTGGCCTTCTGTGATGCTGTCAGAAATCTGCAGGTATGAAAATGATAAGATGTAGCCTTCTAAATGAGAGAAGCTAAGGGGGTATAGTGAAGCTGTGAAGGCACCGAGAAGACAATGGGACAGGGAGGCCCATTGGCACAGGCCTGTAATCCCTGTTATTTGAGGGGCTAAAACAGAAGGACCAAAAGTCCAGGTCAGCCTGGACAGTGAAATCAAGCCTTACCTGGACAACTAACTTCCTAAGAACCTTTCTCAACACAGAAGATAAAAAGGGGATTGGGTATAGCAATGCACACCTTTAATCCCATCACTTGGGAGGTAAAGGCAGGTGGACCTCTGAGAGTTTGAGGCTAGGCTAGTCTACATATCAATTTTTAGGCTAGCCAGGGATACAGAGTCCATATCTCAAAAGGAAAAAAAAAAAAAAAAAAAAGGTGGGGAGGGGGCTGGGACTGTAACTCAGTGAACATTAGCATGTGCTGATTAGTAGAATGCAAGAGAGCCTGGGTTCAACCTGGGGGCAGAGGAGAGAGAATGATTTAGAACTCAAGAATGACATAGTACAGGAATGGAGAGATAGCTCAAGAGTTATGAGCACTGACTGCCTGACTGCTCTTCCAGAGGACCCGGGTTCAATTCCCAGCACCCACATGGAAGCCAACAACTGTCTATAACTCCAACATATGACACCCTTACACAGACATACATGCAGGCAAAACACTGATACACATAAATTAAAAAACAAATGAGATAGTAAGCAAGAGTGGCTGGATTTGAACTCATAATCCTACATGAAACCTGAATGGGTACCAATGTACACACATACTACATACATACACACCTCTGATAACTGGTAAGTGCCTCTATATTAACTGAAATACATAAGCAACACTAATAGACTTAAATTATACAAGTGAGCTTTATTAGATTCAGAGAATGAAAAAATGGTCTTATTGAATATAATAATTTATGCATATCTGTGTATGATATTGCTGGTGGTCTTGGAGTCCAGAAGACTACACCAGATCCCCTGAAACTAGAGTTACAGTCAGTTGTAAGCTGCCTGACATGAGTTCTGGGAACCCAACTCAGATCCACTAGAAGAGTTCAAGTACTCTTAGCCACTATATCATCCTCTCAGCCCCAAATACAACATATTTAATATATAAGTGATTCACTGAGATAAAAGGCTACCTCTATGGGGGGGATGGAGAGATGGCTCAGCTGTTAAGAGCACTGAATGCTCTTCCAGATGACCTAGGTTCAATTCCCAGCACCCACATGGCAGCTCACAAATGTCTAACTCCAAGATCTGACACCTTCACACAGACATATATGCAGGCAAAACACCAATGCATATAAAATGAAACATAAACAAGTTAAAAGACTACCTCAAAGATCCCTACACACTGATGGACATAAGATATGCACAAATAAATAGAACAAAACAAAATATGGGGGCTGGTGAGATGGTTCAGTGAGACAAAGGCACTTGCTACCATGCCTGACGACATGAGGATTCCTGGAACCCAGGTGGTAGAAGGGAAGAACTGACTCCTACAAACTGTCCTGTGACTTTCATATGGGCACTGTGACACACACACCACCTGGTTCCTTGTTATGGGCTAGGCCAGTCCAGGACATTCCCCGAGGCCCTGACATATGGAAAATGATTATTCGTTCCTCACCTAAAACCAGACACTTGCTTGTCTAGGCCAGTGATGGCCGGAGGTCAGGCCAGCTGAAGTTGTCTGGATCCTGAGAATTCAACTTTCCCCTCCTGGAAGGGCTATGGTTATCAGTCCCAAGGCTACTGAGCAGGAGGTCTATAACTCAGTTGAGACATCCTCTGTTCCCTTTGTGCAACATTGCTTGATTAGCTTCCTGTTGACTGTCCCACTGTGTGACAGTTTTTGCTGACTCTGTCCCATTTTTCCTCTGGCAAGCTGTACATAGGTGCTGTGCTTTGTAATAAACTTGCATGAGACATCAGCTTGTGCAGGACTTCCTGATCCCAAACTTTCCTGTCTTCTTTCTTTTCTCATCCCATGGTCTGGTCCTTCCTCACAGGACCCTGTCACTGAAGAATGACCTGCTGATCCAGATCAATCACCAACAAATAAGGAAATGTAAAATGGGGTGGATTGAGCCTGGCAGTGGTGGCCAGCACCTTTAATCCCAGCACTCAGGAGGCAGAGGCAGGCGGATCTCTGTAAATTCAAGGTCTGCCTGGTCTACAGAGTGTGTTCCGGGATAGTTAGGGCTACATGGGAAACCCTGTCTCAAAAAACAAACAATAAAGGGGAAGAGGAGGTGGAGTGGTGTTGAGAATGGGAATGGAAAATGAGTAAAATGAGTAAAAAGGCAAAGAATTTTTTTTTTTTTTTGGTTTTTGGAGACAGGGTTTCTCTGTGGCTTTGGAGGCTGTCCTGGAACTCACTCTGTAGACCAGGCTGGCCTCGAGTTCAGAGAGATTGACCTGCCTCTGCTTTCCTGCTTCCCGAGTGCTGGGATTAAAGGCATGTACTACCACCACCCGGCCAAAGGCAAAGAATTAATGCCACTGAGATAAAGTAATCAGCACACTACTACAGAAATATTCAGTGAAGTCTTATGTGTTCTCAGGGTTAATCTTCATTTTCATGGACTGCATCATCTAGGAAACAAGTATCTGGAAGTGTGAGGGTACTTCCGGCAGGAAGACCCGCCTTGAATGGGAGTGGCACTGTGCCAGAGGCTTTGGACTATACATCAGAACTCAACTTCTTCCTCTACTTCCTGACTATGGATGCAATATGACCAGCAGCCTCCAATATCTGCTGCCAGGCCTTCCTAGCTATGACGGGTGGCACCTTAAGCTGTGATCCCAAATAACACTTCTTCCCTTAAGATGCTGCTTGTCGGCGGGGAAATTGGTGGCACACACCTTTAGTCCCAGCACTCGGGAGGCAGAGGCAGGCGGATCTCTGTGAGTTAGAGTCCAGCCTGGTCTACAGAGTTAGTTCCAAGACAGGCTCCAAAGCAATACAGAGAAACCCTGTCTCGAAAAACATAAACAAAAAAAGGTGCTACTTGTCAAGGATTCTGTTACAGAAACAAGAAAAGTAATGAACACAGGAATTTTCATGAATAAGGACTATTCTATTAAGAATTATCCAATTTGGGCTAGACAGGAGAAAAGGCTTGGTGATTAAGAGCATGTACTGCTCTTGCTAAGGACTAGAGACTGGTTCTAAGCTCCCAAATTGGGTGGCTCACTACTAACCATAACTCAAGCTCCAGAGATATCTGACACCCTCTTCTGGCCTCCTCTGGTACCAGGCATGCACACAGTTCACACACATACATGTAGGCACTCACACATAAAACAATTAAAAAAAAAAAAAAAAAAAAACAGTGCCAAAATTTAGCATTGCTGGGTGTGGTGGTAAACACCTAATTCGAACACTTAGAGAAGGCAAGCCAATCTCTGCCAGTTTGAGGCTAGCCTAATAGACACATTGAATTCCAGGTCAGCCACAGTTACAGAGGGAGGCCCCATTTGGAAAACAAAAAGTAAACCCACAAAAAACAAAAACAAACAAAAAAACCCCAAAAAACCCAAAATTACTTTTTCTAGATTGCAAAAAATGTTCCCTGGACAACTGGGCTTATTAACTCCAGCACTTAGAAGGTTGAAGCAAAAATGAGGAATTCAAGGCCATCTGGGCTATACATACTGAGACTCTCAAAAAAACAGAAAACAGGCTGGAGAGATAACTCAGTAGTTAGAGTACTTGTTGCTCTTGCAGAGGGCCTGAGTTGTAGGCACAAGGTAACTTACAACTATCCATACCTCAAGTTCTAGGAAATCCAACACCCTCTTCTGGCCTCCACAGGCACCAGGCATGCACATGGCGTGCGCGCACATGAGTGCGCACACGTGCGCGCGCGCGCACACACACACACACACACACACACACACACACACACACACACACACGCAGGCAAAACATTCACACACATAAAATAAAATAGTCTAAAAACACAAATGGGGCTGTTAACATGGCTAATCAGGTAAAGCTACTTGCCTTGCAGGCCCAGCAGTCTGTTTAATCCCTGTAACCAACATAAAGGGGTATATACAGAACTGATTCTACAAAGTTGTCCTTTGCAGGCATGATAGCACACCTTTAATTCCAGCTTTGGGAGGCAGAGGCAGGAGGATCTCTGTGAGTTTGAGGATAGCCTGGTCTACATAGCAAATCCAGGCCAATCAAGGCTACAGAGTGAGACCCTGTCTCAGAAGAAAAAGAGTTGTCCTTTGACCTCCATACTATGGCACACAAACCCATCATACAGATACACAATGATAAACAAGTTAATATCAATTAATAAGAAACTTCAAAACCACCTCCCCTGTATTAATAGACCTTTAATCACACCCTTTTTAAGTTAGAAACAATCTGCAGAAAGGGTTGATTTACTTTCATAGATTATAAAGTAAAGGGGACTGGAGCGATGCTCAGCAGCTAAGAGCACTGGCCGGCTGCTCTGCCAGAGGACCCAGGTGTGAGTCCCAGCATCCTGTGGCTCACAACCATTTCCAGTTCCAGAGGATTCAACACCTTCTTCTGGCCTCTGTGGGCACCAGGCATGCAGATGATGCACACACATGAAAGCAAAACACTCACATGTACATAAAACGAAGTAAAAAACCTTGAAAGATTATAAAGCCACAGTAGTAAAAGCATGCACGTGTGAAGGTCATGCTACACAAACTCTTTACAAGATAACAAAACCGGTGAGTCCTCTGCATGCAGGTGGACAATCCTTACCCACAGGAGTGACACTCTCACAGTTCTCCTCTCTGCCATCCCTACTAAGGGACTTCTGGGACTGATCCAAATGTCCCCATTCCTCCAGGATGAAGGACACAGCCACATCAGCCACGTCTTCAATTTTCACCAACTTCTGAAATGGGAGAGCTCCACTAAATTCCCATTCCCTGTGTGCAAATCTGCAGTGAGGGCAAAACCTGGGGGCACTAAGTCAGAACCCAAGGGAGAGGCTATGCAACCAAATGGGAAGCGCTAAGCAGAAAGCAAAAAGACAGAAGGGAATGAAAGGAAGGCATCAACCAGAGATGGGCCTGGAAGCTGGTCAGGTGCCTGGTAAAGATGGCGTCACAACCTGGAATCCCTGGGAAGTGAGTCTCAATAAGGGAATATCAGAACAAGGCTCCTGATCGCCATGGGAAGACCAAGCCTACTGTGGGTGACACCACTCTCTGGGTTTGGCTCCTGGGTTGTGTAGAGTAGAGGGCTAGCTGAGCGGGCATGCCCTTATTTTCCTCTGCTCTGGATTGTGGATATGACATGAACAGCTGCCTCAGGTTCCTGCCACTCTTACCTCCGCACCATGGCGCACTGTAACCTGGAACGTGGGCTAAAATAAACCCTTTCTTTCATAAGCCGTGTTCACCAGGGAATTCTGCCACCGTAACCAGAAACAAAACTAGGACAGGTGGGGATGGAGGCTGCGGAGGGGCATGGCTTCTCATGCAGGGCAGAGCAGGGCTAGCTCACCTGAGTCCCGGTTGAGAGGGGTGGGGCTGTCAGCTCCTGGCTGTCCTTCGGGGGAATGGAAGGAACCTGGCAAACAGGAAGGGCTGAGGACAGAGAAAAGGTATAAATGAGACTATGTGGTGAGGTTCTCAGTGCCATCATGCCCTCCTAGCCCTGCCCTGCAGCACCCAAGTTAAATTCACCTTGGCTCTCAGTACCCTTTGCATTCTGCACCGGTCCTCCCTCTATATCCTTAGTCCTTCTTCTCCCAAAACACCACACTCACTGGGCATGGTGGCACAGGCCTTAATCCTAATGCTCAGGAGGCAGAGGCCATCCAGGGACACTCAGTGAGACCCTGTCTAAAAAAATAAAATTCTCAGTCTCCTTGCTTTGGTCAAGCTAATAATCCCCATACTTCATTCAATTATGCTTAGGGCAAATCAGTATTTCCTAGGTTCCTGAGTTTCACAGGTTTTTAACGTACTAACAAGTCACCTTCAGATCTCAGTATAAAACAGATTCTGTCTCATTCAAACTCCCAGACTAGTCATGTCCTCCTGCCTCAGCTTCCCAAGTAGCTGGTACCACAGGCATGTGCCACTGTACTCAGTAGTATAGACTGGTCCATAACAAGGTCTAATGGACACAATTTAGTTTTTGAGTTTTTTTTTTATTGACCAAATTAAAATGATTTTAAGAGTAGAATTAAAGCCAGGAGTGGTAGTGCATGCCCTTTAATACTAGCACTCAGAAGACAGAGGCCAGCAGGAGGATCTCTGTTAGTTCAAGGCCTGTCTGTGAGTTCCAGGACAGCCAGAACTACATAATGAGACCCTGAGGGGACAATATTTATATTGAGGCTTCCTAAAGAACAAAAAAGAAATTTTTGTTTTACAACTAGAATGATGCTCATTAGATGTAATAATTTCTATGCTTGGTCTCAGCCACAAGGTTGACAAATATCCACATGCACACTGCTAGAAGTCTGCTTCCTCATCTTTGGAGTTACTTGTTACTAAGGATTGTTCATGCACTATTCCCAGCAGGGCCACAAACAAACTAAAGGAGTAAGGATGGAAGTGCACTGGATAGTGTTCTGTCAACTTGACACAAGCTGGGCTCATCTAGGAAGAGAGACTCTTAATTGAGAAAATGCTCTGTAAGCAAATCTCTAGCGCATTTTCTTGACTGATGATCAGAGAGGGCCCAGGTCAGTGTGTGTAGTACCACCTCTGGTCTCATGGTCCTAGGTGCTACAAAGCAAGCTGAATAAGCTCCATACAAGGAGTAAGCCAGGAAACAGCACTCCTCTCCACGGCCTTTGCGGCAGTTCTTGCTTCCAGGTTCCTGGAGCCTGACTGCTCCAGACGATGGACTATAAGCTATAAGGTGAAATAAACTCTTTCCTCACCAAGCTGCTTTTGACTTCCATGCTTTGTACTGGGTGGTTTTGTGTGTCAACTTGACACAAGCTAGTCATTAGAGGAAGGATCCTCAGCTGAGGAAATGCCTCCTTGAGCTCCAGCAGTAAGGCATTTTCTCATTTAGTGATCAATGGAGGAGGGCCCAGCCCATGATGGGTGGAGCCATCCCTGGGCTACTGGTCCTGGGTTCTATAAGATGGGCTGAGCAAGCCATGAAGCAAGCCAGCAAGCAGCATCCCTCCATTGCCCCTGCATTAACTTCTGCCTTGGGGATCCTGCCCCTGAGTTCCTGTCCTGGCTTCCTTTAGTGATGAACAGTGCTTAAGTGTAAGCCTGATAAACCCTTATCTCTCCAACTGCTTTATGGTCTTTTGTGGCAGCAAAAGACCCTAACTAAGACGTGTTTTATCATAGCAATTGAAGGCTAATTAAAACAAGAAACAGATAACAGAAGTGGGGTATTGATGTGACAGACCAAACCATGTTAAAAAAGAACTATGGCATTCTCAGTCAGTACTGAATCATTTGGGACCAAGAGCTTTCCCAAGTGATGTTTCCCAGCAACATCTTGCACCACCCCATTGCTCCAAAAGGACAGTATTATGTAATAATATTCTTCAATCTGTTATATTTGCATGTCAAAATGCACTGCATACAAAGAGGTTGGATTTTTACTGAAGTGTTTTAAAAGTTGGGTTATTTGTGGGGGTAACGGGAGACTGGGAATGTAGCTCAGCTGGAAGAATACTTGCCTAACATGTATTGAGTCCTTGGGTTCCATTCCATCCCTAGTGTCATAGAACCAGACATGGTGGTGCATCACTCTTAGAGGTAGAGGGAGACGGGTATCAAGAATTCAAGCTATCATCAGTTAATTGTGAGTTAGAGGCCAGCTGGACTACATGAGACCATATCTGAAAACAAACAAACAAGGTGCGGGGATGGAAAGGTGGCTCAGTGGTTAAAAGAACATACTGCTCTTACAGAAGACCAGAGTTTGGTTCCCAGTGTTCACATCAGATGGTTCACAATCACCTATACTCTTTTCAAGATGGTTTCTTTGTAGGGAAAGAAGGGTTTGTTTTAGCTTTCTTTCAAGATGCTTTTCCTCTGTAGACCAGGCTGGCCTTGAACTCAGATCCACCTGCCTGTGTCTCCCAAGTGCTGTGATTAAAGACATGTGACCCCCCACCCACCCACCCACTGCACTGCCAAACCATCTGTAATTCTAGTTTCAGGAGATCCAGTGCCTCTCCTGGCCTCTGCAGGCAGTGCAAACACATGGTACACATATACATACAAGGAAAACACTCATACAAATAAAATAAAAATAAATGTTAAAATATTTTTCTAAAACTCTCTAAATAATCCCTATACTTAGAGACATTGTTTTCTGTTGCAGGAATTTAACAGAATCACTGTATCTGGGGTACTGGGGTCACAGCAGAATGAAGAGTTTCACTGTATCCAGGGTAAACATTAGAGTGAAGCTGTTTTCTAGAAGTACTTAGACCTTGAAGAATAATTGCGAAAAACAGTAAAGAATTTTTATGGAAACGATGATTGTTTTCCGTGATTTGCAGAGCTGTTTATCTTAAGGAGCGTTGCAGCTGTCAAATGACTTTGGTCACAAGACTTCTCTGGCATACCCAAGGCTCTTGGATTATTGTGTACTGCAAATGATACACAGTGGAGGACTAGAGTCATAAGGGGATGTGATGCTCTACTTTAGAGAGATAGATTAAGTTGGACTTTGGTATGAGGAAATACTTTACTCCCCAAACAACTTTGTGTAATAATTGATAAATATGCCTTTATACAGCTGTTCAGGGTTTGATTCATCAGAGGCTGGACCTTCCTGCTGCCACACGAGCCTTAATATTTCACCTTGGGGAGAGATGGCTCAGAGGTTAAGAGCACTGTCTGCTCTTCCAGAGGTCCTGAGTTCAATTCCCAGCACCCTCATGGTGGCTCACAACCATCTGTAATGAGATCTGGTGCCCTCTTCTGGCGTGCAAGCAGAACACTGCATACATAACAAATGAATAAACAAATAAATACAAAAATTTCATACTGGAATGACCTTTCTTCAACTGTTGACTCACACAACACAGAATACCCTAACAGCCTTCATTATCATTTTTGTCATATATCTGATTTTGGAGGATGGTCCTGGGAATGGAACCCAGCATCTTGCCCTTACTAAAGATACACTCTACCACTAAGCTATGTATGCCCCATCTCTATTATAGCTTTCTTAGTTTTGCTTTGTTTGTTTTTTTTTTTTTTGAGACAGTCTCAAATAGTCCAACCTCAAACTTGCTCTGTAGCCAGGGTGGCGTCGATGATCCTTCTGCCTCTGCTGCATGTGCAGGGTCACAGGTGTGCTCCACACCTGGTTCATGTGTCACTGGGGAAGGAACTGAGGACTTCATGCCCGCTAGGCAAACGCTCTACCAACTGAACCACATCCCCAGTTTACCGGTTTTAAGTGAAAGTGGGATACAACCTCAGCCATCCAGAAAGCTGTCCCTGTCTCAGGGGAGTCCGCCTGCCCATACTCCAGGCCATCTCTGCCCATGTGATCGGAGCCCCTGTGCTCTAGGCACATTGGCTGCACTGAAATGATGAAGCCTCACCATTTCCCTCCAGAAGACTCTGTGGCTCTTGATCAGACTGGGCCTCCACCGGCAGAAACTGGTGACTGAAGGACTCCTGCGCGGCTCTGGATGGTACCGTCTTCTGCGAAAGCACTTCAGGACATGTGACAATCTAACAACCACAACTACAACCAATCAGCAAAATTATAGATGGGGATGGGAAAGAACCCATTAGAGTCCATTAGACTGTCACCTGTCCCCTTGCCCAATACTGAACTTGCATCTACAATGAGCCAGTCTCTGATGAAATAGCAGTTTAACAAACATGGTTACTTCTACTGGGAAACGACTTCCATGAGATACACCTACATGCAAATACACAATTATGAACTCGATGTTAGACAAGAAAGAAACACAACTACAGGACAGAACAGGTGATACCCACGTTAGCCTGAGAGACTAGGGAAGGGTGTCACTATAAACACCTAAAAGATGTTAAGAAGGGGCTAAAGGATGGTTTAGAGCACTAGCTGCTCTTCTAGAGGACCCAAGTTCAGTTCCCAGTAACCACATGGTGGCTCACATTGTCTGTAACTACAGCTCCAGGGAATTCAGTGTCCTCTTCTAGCTTCTAAGGGTGCCAGCACACTGTGCGCATGCGCGCGCGCGCGCACACACACACACACACACACACACACACACACACACACACACACACACACACACACACGAGAAGAAACCCAGGCACAAAGAGGGTTCCCAAACCTTCCCTCAGGCAAAACAGGGTATTTGACCCAACCCAGGACCCATAGGAAGCCAAAGGTGGGTAAAGGCAATGACAAGCAATGAAAAGGGAGGGTGGAAAGGTCATTATGGGATTCTGGAAGTCACTGCTGGTCAGATTGAGATTTCAGATAGCTTATGTCCCACATGCCTGTAATCCCAGCACCAAGGAGGCAGAAACAGGAAGGTTGCAGAAAGGTCTCAGTTAAACTTGGATACCCTGCCTCAAAAAGAATGTAAGTTTGTTCATGTCCAGCAAGACACCAGCCTCTACCATCCTGCTCTCAGCCCTCAATCCCACCTAGGGTGGCACAGCTTACTCCTAGAAATGCTGGAAGGCACTAAGATTCTGCCACCCTTGCCTTGCTGCCTGAGTCACAGGGTGAGCTGAAGCTGTCAAACAGTTTGAGGATGTTCTGTAACTCTGGAATGTCCCCTCACTCTCAAAACAGGAATGATGAGACTAGCACCTTACAATTAGATACAGACTGAGGGATGAGTGGAACTCTCCAGCAACCTTCAAACTCTCCCAAACCCATAGGCTTTTGTTCTGTTTGTTTTTAGACCGGGTCTTCCTTCTCAGAATCCCCCTGACTCAGCTTCCCAAGTATTGTGATTAAAGGCATGTCCCACCAAATCGAGCTCTAAGTGCATAAGAAGAAAACACTTCATGGAAAAGGCAGAGGGAAGGAAACACCAAAACTGTTTATGCCTCAAATAATTTTAAAGCAGTTCAGAAACAGCCACTAGGATCAACAAACTAGGACCCAAACATCAGAAACAGATGCCCCAAACAGGCAGAACTTTAACAAGTGAAAAAGAGAGCATTTCATTTCCAAGGCAAGGTCTTTCTCCCTATTAATTTTGGCCAGCCTTGAACTCTATGTCGACCAGGCTGGCCTCGAACTCGGAGTTCCATCTGCCTTCCTCTGCTTCCCAAGTGCTGGGATTAAAGGTATGTGCCAAGAGATGGCATTTTAATCAGTTAAGAAAAAAAAAGTTTCTTTCAAAATTTGTTGTGCTGCCGGTGGGGGGGGGGGGGCTGAGGGACGGTGATGGAGAAATGGCACATACTACTCGTGAGGGCCCAAGCTCAGCTCCTAGAACTAACATCAGGTGGCTCCTAACAGCCTATAACTCCAGTGTCAGTGGATTAGTGGATTCAATGCCCTCCAAGGGCACCTGCACTCACATGCACAAATCTAGACATACAAATACACAATTTAAAATGAAATTAAGAACCAGAGAGATGGTTCAGTGATTTAGAGCACTGGCTGAATCCAGAGGACCTGGGTTCGGTTCCCAGCACCCACATGGCAGCTCACAACCATCTGTAAATCTAGCTCCAAGGGATGCAACATCCTCTTCTAGGCTCCATGGGCACATACGCACCTGCAGGCAGGACACTAAGATGCACAAAATAAATAATTCCAAAAACATAAACTATTTCTTTAAAAAAGTTGCTGGAGCAATAAGATAGAGATAGTGGGGAAAATAGCTGGGAACATATTAAAGACACTACATCAGAACACATTTTAGACAAAGCAGTCTGTTAAAAAGCGACTGAGGAGGCTAGAAAGATGGCTCAGAGGTTAAGCACACTGTCTGCTCTTCCAGAGGGCGTGTGTTTAATTCCCAGCACCCACATGGCAGCTCACAACTGTCTGTGACTCCAGTTCCAGGGGATCTGACACCTTCACACCAAAGCACATAAAACAAAGACTGAGAAAGGGTTTTCATAAACTGCAGTTTATGCTTCTAAAGCATTATCCCAGAAACCAGGATGTAAGAATTTACATTGGTTCATCTTTGAGTACAATAGATTCCATGACAACAAGGCACAATGCCTATTGTTTCTAACAGGTAAGAAAAGCAAGTAAGAAACACAAGTATAATTTGCAAAAAAGAAGGGGCAAAGGAGGAGGTAGAAGAAACAAAATATCCTTTAAAACTCATTACTTGTTGGGTACAGTGGCACACATTTAATCCCAGCACCTAGGAGGCAGAAGCAGGTGGATGTCTATGAATTCGAGTCCATTCAGGTCTACACAGTGAAATCCAGAGTACCCAAGGATACATAGTGAGACCATCTAAAAAGCAACATCACCGGAATATGACCGGCTGAAGCACCAGGTGGCTAAATCTCCCAGTCCCGCTCCGCTTGGCAGTTCCTGGACACTCAACAGCTCCTTCCTCGCTGCGCCTGTTTCCTCTCTCACTCACCTGTTGCCTGCGCTCCTCTAGCTCTCTCTGGATACTTTCTATCACAGCCACTGCTTCTTCTCCGCTCTCGGGGTGATGTTCTCTCACCCAGGTCTGGAACTCTTCAGGCAGGATGGTGAGGAACTGCTCCAGCACCAGCAGCTCCAAGATCTGTTCCTTGGTGTGCAGCTCCGGCCTCAACCACTCACAGCAGAGTACCCGAAGCTGGCTGAGAGCATCCCGAGGTCCTGCCGCCTCGTGGTATTGGAAATGCTTGAATCGCTGGTAAAAAGTTTCAAACACTGGCCGGTTGTATCCCTGCCTCCAGGAATAGTCCTCCTCTTCCACCTTCACTATGAGGAGGTCAGCTTGCTCTTGCGAGGAGGTCTCAGCTGGAGGCTCTAAGTGTATAACTGACCTGGATTCTGTCATTATCATTCCAACACAGTCTCTGGAGGCTGCCAGTTACACTAACCCAATATGTTCTCTGCTCTTTTGACGGGCACTTTCTGCAGTGAACAACCTTACTGGTATGTCGGGAATTTCTATTAACAGAGAGGTGGCAAAGACGTCAGCTATAATAAAGAAAACCACTCAGTGAAGTCATTCACAGACTACCAGTCATCACTTCACCCATAAAATTACTAATAGGAACTACATCAAGGTTTCAGAAACGCAAAGGACGGCCACAAAAAAAGTGACATCGGGCCAAATGTAAAACACAATTTTAGAAATAAAAAAGTACACATCTCATATAAATAACGGGACTAAATTATTCCAGACAGAGTCGTTTCTTCTCTCTATCATAAGCCAAACTTAAGTCGGAACAGAAGTGAAAACCATTAAAATGGTCATATCTGGTCCTGGCTTTCAAGCCATAAGGGCTTGACAGGTAAACGGAAGACTTCATTAGTTCTAGGAGAAAGCACAGTTGTAGACAGAAATTTGGACCTGGATTCCTCGGAACAGCTCCTGACCCGGAGACAGAGACCGGACGGGTCAAGGTTAGGGACCCAGTGTGGACACAATGCTACTCTCTCCTCTCCAGTCCCTAAGTCCCGGGGACCCAAAGAGTAAACTCCCCGCAGCCCTGGCTTGGAAGATGGAGTTCTCACAAGCCAAGAGAGAACCGCGTTCGACACTTTCCAACAGTTCCTCGCCGGAAGTAATCAAGTGCAAGCTCAGCCATAAACCCCACCCCCAAGAGCGCTTCCGCAGCCTCTCTAGGACTCCCGGAGGTCCTCGCAGCGCAGCGGGAGGGTGGAGCTACTTCTGGACCCGCCCCGTTGTGGAGCTGACCAATCATCGAGCTTCAGGCAAGGGCTAATGGAGCCCGAGAAAAATAGCTCTAGTTTCTATTTCCCACCCCAAAACCAGAGTTTGCGCTCCGCCCCGCCCCTGCTAGTTAGGCTAGAGGGCAGGTCTCAGGGGAGGACCCCCACTCTCTCACGTCTGATTGGTCGAGATCAGCTTCTCCCCCCCCCACACACACACACTCAGGAATTTAAGTTGGTCTAAACCTCGACAGTAGCTCATACTCTTCGAATTCTATCACTGCCTTGCCACTTTTCAAAACACACCCAAAGACATTCTATACTGCCCAGAGTGATGAGATCCAGAGGCTCACAGGACTACATCTCCCAAGAAGCTGCGCGCGAGCAACAATCTAGCCAATATGGCTGCCGCTCTCCTCAGTCTCCCGGGCTTATTAAAATGCTGCACCAGGTGTACCGCGCGGCTCACTGATATTTATATTACCACCAAGTCTGATGACATGAGTTCGATCCCTGGGTTCGAAATATCCAAATGTTATGGAAGTCAAAGTCGCTGTGTAAGCCCCCCCACCCTGCCCCGCGCTGGCATTAGGGAAATTTTTTTTAATGTTAAAAGGCAACTGGGGTGGGGAGGGTTCTATTCCGAAGGTAGGGGTTAACTCAATTGATTGTTCACACTTTGCTCTCTTCTCACTACTGCACTTGACCAGCCTTTAAAAGTAATAATAACAACAGATGCAGCAAAGGTAAGATTATGCCCGAAGCCTGGCGGCCTGCTGGATGGGGAGAAACCATACTTCGGAAAAAGGGAGTTTTATTTAAATCCTGTTACCCTAAACCGTAAATCCTCATCTTTACTAATCTATTCCTCTCCTGTTGTGTTTTGATCGCTTTCCAAGTCCTTCGCGGACAGACAGTACCAAAGTCCCTGTCGTCACTCCTTAGGGGCACGCTGAAACAGACTACTGTGGAATTGCAACCTCTCCAAGTAGTTGAAGGCCTAGTTAGAGAATAAAGGCCACAACGCTGTAGGGCGGCAGGGAGGGTATCTCTCAGGGGTGGTGAGATTGTCACTGTGAAATTCCTGAGTTCCATCTCCAGCACCAAGGAGAGGGGGAGTGAAATAAAGAATTATAGGCGCTGAAGAGATGGTTCAGTGATTAGGAACTTTTGCTGCTCTTGCCAGAAGATCTGGGTTGGATTCCCAAAACTCTCAAGGCTAACAACTTTCAGTAACTCTAGTTCTAGGGTATCCGATGCCCTCTTCTGGCGTCTGTGTGCACTGTACACCTGGGAATTAAGGATTTGTTGCTCATACTCTCCCAACCCAATAAGGAAAGCGAAACACCAAGAAGCATCTTAGTCCTCCGGGGAGCTTAGAGAGACCCAGCGCGTGGGATAATGACGCACTTCCGGCCTGGGTTTGTTTTTCTGTCACTGGCAGAAGAGAGAAATAACAGGCCATGTTCACGGGTGTGCTGTGTTGGTAGTGGCCTGTTCGAGTAGTAGTGAGCCCCGTTTTGCTCTTCTAAAAGACAAGTTCGAGCTGGACGGTCCAGCGACTCCAATGGCTGTCGCGGGTGCCGGGCTTTGTACGGTGAAAGTGGAGGAGGACTCACCCGGGAGTCAGAAGTCCTTCGGATCCGGGGATTGGCAGAACCCCGAAACTTCTCGACAACAGTTTAGGCAGCTGCGCTACCAGGAAGTGGCCGGCCCGGAGGAGGCGCTGAGCCGACTCTGGGAGCTGTGTCGGCGGTGGCTGAGGCCGGAGCTGCGCTCCAAGGAGCAGATCCTGGAGCTGCTGGTGCTGGAGCAGTTCCTCACCATCCTGCCGCAAGAGCTCCAGGCCTGTGTGCGGGACCACTGCCCTGAGAGCGGGGAGGAGGCTGCGGCCTTGGCGCGGACTCTACAAAGAGCCCTGGACCGAGCCTCCCCACAGGTGAGGTGCAAGTGGGCTCTGGGGGCGCCAGAGAGGTGGTGTAGCGTTTAAGACCATGTGGAGCTCTTCCAGAGAATGAGTTCTGTTCCCAGCACTCACGTAAGGTCGCTCACCACCACCTGTAACTCTATTCAGGGGACCTAATGTCATCTCCTGGGCATCTTCAATCACATGTGCACTGACACACACGCAGTGGTGATTTGAGTCAGAATGGCCCCTTTGGGCTCATACATCAGAATGTGTTAAGTCCATGAGAAGACACCTTGGAAAAATAGAATAATACTCCTGACACTTATTACTGGTTTTGAAATATATTTTGATTTTTTTTTGAAGGCAGAGACTTACTATGTAACCCTAACTGATTTTAACTCATTTTATAGACCAGACTGGTCTTGAACTCATAGAGATCCACTTTACTCCACCTCCAAAGTTCAGGGATTGAAGGTGTGCACCACCATGCCTAGCTCATCGAAACTAAGCTTGCTTGTGCCTTTTGGGATACAATCCACAATCAGTGTAAAAAGTCATTTTGGCATTTCATGTGTGTTTGTGTGAATGTATGCCACTTGTGTGGGAGTGCCATAGGAGCATAGAAAAGGGCTTCCCAGTGGGTGCTGGGAACTGAACTCAGGTTAGTCTTCCCAGAAGAGCAGGAAGCATTCCTAACTTCTTTAGGTTTATTTTGTCTACAGTGTTCTGTCTGCATGTATGCCTGCAGGCCAGAAGAGGGCACCAGATTTCATTATAGATGGTTGTGAGCCACCATGTGGTTGCTGGGAATAGAACTCAGGACCTATGGAAGAGCAGTCAGTCAGAGCTCTTAACCTCTGAGCCATCTCTCTAGCCTGTACTCTTAACTTCTGATCCATCCTGAAAAGTTAATCCAGCCCCTCGAAAGTTAATATTGAAACATTTTCCAGGACCTCCCCCCAAAATGTCATTTCATAATTTGCCATTTCAAAGGCAGTTTTTCCACCTTGACATTGTGGACATTTGGTTGTGAGGGACAGACACTGAAGCACTTCATATTTTGGGCTCTCAGATTAGGAAAATGCTGGAACACTTGCTGAACTGAGATATTCTGACAATTGTGAACAGTTTTGCTCACAAGCATTTTAGATATAGGAAACTCAGCCTATATAATACATGTGTTAGCCATGTACATGTGTACATAGTGTGTTTAGTCAGTTTGTCACTGTGATATGTACCTAAGACAACTTAAGGAACACAAGATCCTTTGGGGTTTAATGCTTTAGAAGTTAAGAGTCCGTGGTTGGCAGAATCCATTGTTTCTGGCTTGGAATATGGCAGAACACCGTTACAGAAGGATGTGCTGGAGCAGATACATTCACTTTCCAGCAGTGAGGAAGCAGAGCAGGGATGCAGAAAAGGGTGGGGATCAGGGAGCTAGAGCTCCTAGGAACACTGCCCTGCATCTGCATCCTCCACCTAGGCTGTCTCTTTCCTTTCTTTCCCCACCCCTACAAATTGAGGCATGATCTCATGTAGCCCAGGCTGGCCTAGAACAACTCCCTATGTAGAGGGGAGAGGATGACCCTAAAATCTCTGATCCCCTGCCTCTACTACTGAACTCTGGGGTTGCAAGTGTTTGCTGTCACACCTGGCTTCTGTGAGGCTGGGGCTGGAGCTGAGCTCTGTGCATGCCTGGCCAGGGCTCTTGAACTGAGAGCCACTTCCCAGCCCAGGCTTCTGTTTATATAAGTGATAGTTCTAGAACTCAAATATTTTGCTTGTGCCTTCCCCGAATTACCATAGATGATCCACAGAAAGTCTTTTCAAGATTACAAGAGGATGTGGCCCTCTAGTGAGAATGGTAACTCTTCTCGGTGTTGTGACAAGAGCACCTTGAGGGGAGGGCTTATTTTGGGGTCAGGGTTTAAGAAGAGCCACTGTCTGTGAAGTCAGGGAGGTGTGGCAGAGGTCACCTGGCTTCAGGGTTAGCAGTCAGAAGGAGGTGAATGCTGGTGCTTTTCCTGTTGTTGCCTTCCTCTTCATTCAGTAAAATGCATCAGCCTGCTAAGGGTTGACCTTTCTTCCACAATCAAACCTGTCTGGAAATGCCCACACAGTTAAGTCCAGAAGCTTAGCTTTGGAGGAGTCTAAATCCAGTCAAGTTGACAATGAAGATTATCAGTAACAGGTCCCTTTGCTACCTAGTCACTCAGCATCTGTGGTTGTTACTTGACTCTCACACCAGCTCCTTACTCCCTAGAGCCTGGCTTCCCCTTAGATCAGTGGAAATATTTGCAGTGACAAGTACTAAATGGAGACCTTGTGCTGTTCTAGGGCTTTGTGGCTTTCAAGGATGTGGCTGAATCTCTGACCTGGGAAGACTGGGAGCAGCTGGCTGCAGCTCGGAAGGGTTTCCAAGGCACAAAGGACCCTGGGAGCACAGTTCTGCCTGGTATGTGCCGTCCTCCCTCTGATGAATTGTTGTATGTGTGTGGTGGCTGCTCTAGTTTCCTTCCAGTTGCTGTGAGAAAACATTCTGACCAAGAAGCAACTTAGGGGAAGAAAGGGTTTATTTGGCTTAAAAGACTAGGTCACAGTCCATTACTGAGACAAGACATGGCAGAATCCTGTTTTTAATTGCTGAGCCATCTCTCTAGCCCCTCTCATTCCTCTCTTATCCCCACCCACTCTCTCTGGAACCCTTGTTTTTCCCAGTACACTGTCTTCCATTCCTCTCTTACCTCTTCCCACTTCCTTTAGAAAACTTCCTAATGTGCCCTCCTCCTACATTTAAATTTATGGTGCTTGTTCTAATTAGGTTTTGTACATGCACGTTCAACTTAAATAGGGCGATATCCTTTAAGAAGAATCACTCTGGCTCCCCCAGCAGTGATTAGTTATCAGTAGCTCCTCAGCTAGAGGAGGGATCTCATGTGCCCTCCCCCATTTATATGTGTTTGTGAGAGTGAACATGTATATAGTATGGGTGTATGTGTAGAGGCCGGAGGACAATTTCTATAGACCTTCAACTAATCCTAGATGGACCTTCCACTGAGCCCTTGCCTCCAGAATTCGGAGTCACTACTTATGTCCATAATAAATGCTCACCATGGATAGACTTTCTTGTATTAATTCATTCCACATTTGTGGGATAAAGGCTACACAGTGCATGCCCTTGATGGGCTCATTGGTTTCGCCCGAGATTGGTGAGGAACACATAGAATCGGGGTAGAGAGCCTTTAGACCAGCATTTCTATTTCACTGTTACCCAGGGGTGAGATAACAGGGGCTTTTATTTTCATGTTTCAGGCTTGGAAACCAGAGCTTCAAACACAGACTGTATTCCAAAGCAAGAAACTTTAAAGGGAGCAGAGCCACAGGCATGGATACACGAAGTGTCCCAGGGAAGGGTCCCACTATTCACTGAGTATGGTGCCCTTGAGGATTGGGAAGAAAAGCTGCCAAAAGACACTGTATTGCTGCAACTCCAGAGTTCTACTGAAGAGCAAGGACGCACCACCACCTCACCTCTCATCAGTGTGCCCAAGGAAGAAGGGGTTTCTAAAAATAATGAATTTGGGAACAATGCCAGCTTTGGCATTGCTCAGCACATCCAGACAGCAGAGAGGCCTGGTACTAATGGTGAATATGAGAACGATCACAAACAAGGCTTCCATGTGAAATGCCATACGGTGAAACCTCACAACTCTGTTGACAATAGTTTGGGGCTCCATGAAGACAAACCCTATAAATGTGACAGCTGTGAGAAGAGGTTCAGACAGCGCTCTGACCTCTTCAAACACCAGAGGACCCACACAGGTGAGAAGCCCTATCAGTGCCAGGCGTGTGGGAAAAGCTTCAGCCAGAGTGCTGCCCTTGTTAAACACCAGCGGACACACACAGGCGAGAAGCCATACGCATGCCCAGAATGTGGGGAATGCTTCAGGCAGAGCTCACATCTCAGTCGGCATCAGAGAACCCATGCCAGCGAGAAGTACTATAAATGTGAGGAATGTGGGGAGATCTTCCATATTTCCAGCCTTTTTAGACATCAGAGACTACATAAAGGGGAGAGACCCTATAAATGTGAGGACTGCGAGAAAAGCTTCAAGCAGCGCTCAGACCTCTTTAAGCATCAGAGGATCCACACGGGAGAGAAGCCCTATGTGTGTTTTGTGTGTGAGAAACGCTTCAGTCAGAGTGCAACCCTCATTAAACACCAAAGGACTCACACGGGAGAAAAACCTTATAAATGTCTTGAGTGTGGTGAGAGATTTAGACAGAGCACACACCTTGTCCGACACCAAAGAATCCACCGAACTATGATCTCCTAGCTTTCATATGTCCCTGCATGACTCATGTGGTGGTTTTTGCTGTTGCTGCTATTTTTGAGAAAAGGTTTCACTGTGCAGCCCTGGCTGACATGGAAGTTGTTAGTATTTGGGCATCTGTACTGGCCTGCCTTTAGGGTCCTGACAGGATATGTCCTCAGCTGTAGCCATTAAGAGCACCATCTGTGCACATTCCTTAAGTTCCCTTATAAAAGGCAGGCCTTGCCCACCTCCTCTCTCCCTTTCTCTTCTGCTACTTTTGTCTCCAGGGATCCGTCTCTGCCCTACCCCCTCTCTGCCCCTTCTCCCTCCTCTTCCAATAACCCCATGTGAGCCCTGTTGTATGGTGTGACTCCTTCCTACCATTTTTAAAATTATAACTGAAGTAGCTAGGTAGACCAGGCTGGCCTTAGACTCAGAGATCAAACTGTATCTACCTCCTGAGTACTGAGATTAAAGATGACACCACCATGCCCACCATGACTGTGTTTTGATTGTTCATTGTCTAGAAACTACACTTTTTGTCATTTGGAACATTTCAGTCACTCATAGACATTTCCTTAGGCCTCTCACACAAGACAGATTAGATGTGATTTGAGCCTTTTTGTTTTTAGTTTATTTAACTTTATTTTAATGTGCATTGGTGTGAAGGTATTAATTAGGTCCCCTAGACCTAGCGTTTCAGACAGTTGTGAGCTGCCATGTGAATGCTAGGAATTGAACCCAAGTCCTCTGTAAGAATAGCCAGTGCTCTTAACCTCTCAGTCATCTCTCTAACTCCCTTGTTTGTTTTTTTAAGACAGGGTCTCATGTAGCTCTGGGTGGCCTAGAACTCACAGAGATCCTCTTCCCTTTGCCTTCCAAGTGCTAGGATTAAAGGCCTTCCATGCCTGGCTTTATTTTAACCTAATATATGATTTTATAAAGAATTTCATGGGCTGAGTGGTGGCGGCACACACCTTTAATCCCAGCACTCAGGTGCAGAGGCAGGTGGATCTCTGTGAGTTTGAGGCCATCCTGGTCTACAGAGGGAGTTCCAAGACAGCCAAGGCTACACAGAGAAACCCTGTCTTGGGGGGGGGGGGGAATTCATGGAGCCAAGCATTGTGGCACACGCCTTTAATCCCAGGATTCTGGAGGCAAATGCAGACAGATCTCTGAGTTCAAGGCCAGCCTCATCTACAGAGGGAGTTCTAGGATAGCCAGAGCTACACAGAGAAGCCCTGTTTTGAAAAGAAAATAAAGGAATTTCATGGGCCAGTGAGATGGCCCACAGAAGGTGCTTTCTGTGGAAGCCTGGCAACTTGAGTTTGATCTCTGGGACCCATGTAAAGAAACTGACTCCACAAAGTTGTTCTCTGGCCACTACACATGTATACTTACATACACATCAAGCACACATTGACACACTAATACATTGTTTAAACATTTATTTATTAGAAGTACACACACAATACAGTGTGTATGTGGAAGTCAGAGAACAACTTGCAGGAGCTGATTATCTTCTTCCAACCTGTAGATCCCAGTGATTATCTCAGGACATCAGGCTTGGCAGCAAGTGTCTTTACTCACTTAGACATCTCAGGGACCCAATAATTGTTTTATAAAAAAAAATACTGCAGAGGAGGAGAAGGAATGAGTAAATAGGGAGCTTTCCAAAAGATGAAGTAGTACCATGTTTGAGATGTTTAATAATAAGAGTAATGGTTAAAGGGCAGGAGCAAAGGTTCAGCAGTTAAGATGACAAATATCACTCTTACAGAGGACCTAGATTCAATTCCCAATCACCATATGCATCTATAACTATAATCTTTTTTCTGAGGCTTCTCACGAGGCATAAGGAGGTGGTCCAGAAGGACATCCTTGGGATCTTCAAAAAGAGAAAACTGAGGACAGAAACACTGAATCCTATGGCCTCGGGGTTAAGGAAATGATTCTGCAGGTAAAGACGCTTGCCACCAAGTCAGGCAACATGAATTCTATCCCTCTGACCAACATGGTGAAAGGGAAGAGCTGATAACCCAAAAGGTGTCTCTGGCCTCAGACATACTGTGCCACACCCCACATTTAATATTACTCAAAATGTCCCAAGGCCTGGGCCATGATTCTACATTGTTCTGTAGTTTTATTTATTTATTTATTTATTTGTTGTCATTTTTAACAAGTTTAAAACCTTGACTTTAAATAAGCTTGACTCGAAGAGAAAACTATTTAGAATAATTTTGCTCAAGAATAATTTGCCACTGCTTAAAGATAGACTGTTCTACATGTAACAGCTACGTACAAGAATGCTATAAAATTGTCCTTGGTTTCACAATGATAAAAACATGAAAATTCTCCAATCAAACCAGGAATGCAAGGATTTGATGTTGTTGGGATCTTTCATTAAAACAACGAGAGCAAAACTTACTGAAATGTAAAGAAAAGAACCAAATGAGCATGCCACTGATGGAAAAAGGGGCTATTTTCAGAGAACCAGTACTTCCCTCCCCCAGACCACCTCCATCTGATGTCAGTCAACCAAAACAGAACATTGGCCATTTAGATGAAAACAGAAAAAGGAAAAGCACAATATGCTTGTGCACATATAGCACTTAGCTTGAGAACAATAATGAAATGTGGACAAGGAAATGAGAGAGAGAAAAAACTACTGTAGTCAGGCTGTGGCGGAACCAAATTGTGGCTTTCTAATTATGAGCTTATTCTTGGTCCATAACAAAATTCTGGAGTAAAATAGCAGGTTCTGTTTAGTGGCCACCTGTCTGCCGCTGGAACAGTCAATCGTATCATCCTCCATTTCCAACTGTGCAGGTGTGTCTGTTTCACAGGTTATCAAACGGGAATCTGATCTGCTTAGTGACAACGGGCTTTCATTTGTTCACTAAGTGATGCCTGCCGCTTTAAACTGCACCACGGAACCATCCTGACCTGTCACCTTCAAATTAATATGATTGCTGCTCTCACTCTTGACTCGTTCCTTGGGTTTCTCTGAGTGCCTGATCCTCCTCAGCTGCCACTTCACAAAAGTGGCGCCAGGTGTCCGCTGAAGGCACAACACCAGCAGCACCAGGAGTGGCATGAGAAGAGGGAGGCCACTTTGAGGCATCGTTATTAACCTCTAGGGCTGTACAAAGATCAAAGTAGTGGCCTCTGGGCCTTAGCCATACACGTGCTTCCAGGACCTCCAGAAACGCTGATGAGAACCTGAGCTGAAGCTCAGTGGGTGAACCTTTGCCTACCATGCAGAAGGCCTGAGGTCCAATGATCCCACCCCCAACCTCAGCATCTCAATAAAACAAAAAGAAAACTTCTGTGTAGTTTTTTTTGTTTGGTTCAGGCAAGGCCTCTCACTCTTTAGCCTCTAAATCACTTTGTAGCCTGGGTTGGTTTCAAACTCACGTGATCCCCCTGCCTAAGGCTCTGAAGTCCTGGGATTATTGTAGTGTGCCACTATAGCTGGCTTTCCCATGAGACTCTAAACATTCAAGTGGCTGAAAGTGGCCTTTAATTGTGTTAGCAACAACTCTAAGTGGAGGCCCCATAATAGATTCATCCTTTATATTTATAAACACAAAGCAGTAGATAAATGGGAACCCTGAAGCAGACTCCTCTTTTACTCTTTTGTTTGTTTAGAGGCAGGATTTCTCTCTGTAGCCCTGGCTGCCCTGGTACACATTCTGTAGACCAGGCTGGCCTTGAACTCAGAGCTCCACCTGCTCCTGCCTCCAAGTGCTATGATTAAAGGCATGTGCCACTCCAGACCAGAATCCTGGCCCCCAGTAAATTTTGCTCACTGTAGTCCCTTTTGCCTGGAACACTTCCTTTTTTCCCTAATGCTTTCCCACCAAACTCCAAAAGGCAGTCAAAACAAATATCCAGAAATGAGCTCAACCTAATTAAAGAAGGAATTTTGGCAGTTAGACAAACCAGCATTCCTACTGAACTTGTGAAGCCAGTTTCCCTTTGCCATAAAGGAACCCATTCCCTTACCTCTGGCAAAAGAGAGATATGGTTTACCTATGGTGTATCAACATATCAAAGCACCTGCTGGCCTCCAGGCTCCCTCAGTATCACAAGTATTTGTTACCGATTTCCAAGTCCAAGCTATAGCATCCTGGCTCTTTTTACCTTCTCTATCCCCAATTCCCTGGCTTCTCTTCCTCCAGCTATTCATTCTCCGTATAACCCCACTATTCTCAATGTGTCCTCTCTCTATGCTCTGGTCCTGCTTCTCTCTCTCTCTCTCTCTCTCTCTCTCTCTCTCTCTCTCTCTCTCTCTCTCTCTCTCTCTGAAACAGATTTCTCCATTTAGCCCTGGTTGCCCTCACTCTGTAGGTCAAGTTGGCCTCAAACTCAAGAGATCAATCAGCCTCTGCCTCCCAAGTAATTAAAGGAGGGCACCACCAAAGCCTGGCTTTGCTGTTTTCTCTGTTCTCTATCCCCTGCTATTCTCCTTTTTCTCACAAACACTCCTGGCTGTGTGGTCATGTTCAGTCTATTTCTCTTTTCACTCTGGAATCTTCCAGATGCCTCTGGCTGTTCCTCTCAGTTACAATAAACACCTTCCTCTTAAAGGGGAATGGGAAAATGGCTGAACAGTTAAGAGCATTTGCTGCTCTTCCAGAGGACCCAGGTACGATTCCTAGCACCAACATGGCAACTCACAACTCCAGCTCCAGGGAAATCCAATGCCCTCTTTGTCCTCAGTGGGCCCTGCATACATGTGGTACACCGACATACAAGCCCGGCAATACCCATACACATTAAAAAATAAAATAAAACAAACCCTTCACCTTAATCATACCACGGAGCGGTCATGTCAGTTTATACAGGTGTTGCACACCTGTAATCTCGACACTTGAGATGCTGAGGCTGGAATAAAGTTCGAAGCCCAAAATCGGGAAATAGCAGTAAGATAATTGCCTGTCGCTATCGGGTAGCCTGACCTTGGCCTCAACACGACTTGAACTTTCTTCTGTTGGTCAGATGAACAACCTTTATGCACTTTAGAATTATCGTGGAATCCACTTACACATCTTGAGTGGAACTTCAATGGAGTTTGGGGTCAGAGCCCAGTGAATAGCGGGCAAAAGGAATTGGGGGAGGCAAGAAATGTTCCTGCCTTCAAGACTTCTAGGCTTCTTTTCAGCATGGAATAAAACCAGAGCCTGGAGCACTCGGGATTGAGCCACACATCCTCCCCTTGTCCCTCTCATTTCTCCTAACAGATCCAAAATCAGAGGATAAAAAGCCAGAATGTCCCTTTCCCCTTTTGTCCTTTTCTTCCTCCTGGTCCCAAAATGCAGGGTCCGCGGGGACTCTACCCTCTAAGGAGGTGCCCTCCCATTCAAGAAACCCTGGAGTTGTGCGCTCTACCGGAGAGACGACCTACTTCCGGCGAGCCTCCGCTCCCAGGACGCTCAGCAGCGGTGCTTACTCCCTTCCCAGCAGCCCTCGCGCACCGCTGGGTTTTGCGGACAGCGGGACTGCAAGATGGCGTCAATCGGTGAGTCCTTTGGCTCTAGCCAGGCCGCGGGGTTGGAAGCCCGGGCTGGGCGCAGGATCCAGGGCCACAGTGGGGTGAAAAGGAACTGGGGGGACACTTGTCCTTCTCCCGGGGACGTCGCCGTGGCCTCCGCAGAGGCGCGCTGGACACTTGCTCTGAGGCCCTGCGTTTCCCAGCGCTGTCCGCCCTCCTCCGTACACCCGGAGGCGGATTATCGCTGTGCACCGCCTGCTGCGGCGGTGGAAGACGGAGGCAGCATGGAGAGGCTTCTCCCGGGCTGCACACGCGCTGCCGGGAACCATTTGTTGGGTTGGCTCTCCGCTGGGACTAAGCTTTTTCTTCCTGCGACACAAACGGGGGCACTTGAACTTTTACGCACCGCACCGCAGCACCTGCCCTTCCCTGAGCTGAGGTTCAAATTAAAGTTCAGAAGCGGCAGTTGCCTAGGATGGTTCCCGACACCACGTAAAGTTACACAAGCTTCGATTGAACACTCCTGCTGAGGTGAAGTGACCTGTTCAAGGTCACAACTCCTGAGAACCTAGTTGGTACACAGACCTAGGTTGGCGTGGCCGAGATTAATTCTCAAAGATATCCTTGTGACGGGCAGGTGTTCCCTTAACAGGCACGAGTAAATCTTTACATTCATTCATCGTGCACTGTTGGAATTAATCTATCTGTGTATGATGTGTGTCTAGCTAGGGCCAAGGGAGTGCCGGAGCTTGTGTGCAGCAGGTTAGAGAACAACATTGAGGAGTGGCCTCTTCCTGGGATGAAACTCCAGTAGTCCGCTAGCAATTTCACGGTTGTCTACCCCCCTTCTTTTGAGACAGGGTTTTGTGTAGCCCAGGTTGGCCCTGAACTTGCAGCCTCGATTACAGGCCTGTGCCACTATACTCAGCTTGTTTCTGAGTTATTTATCTCAGCCTGGGAACAACAAGCAGTGGGGTGTCTAAAAAAGGAGTGTGAGGAATCTGGCTGGGGTTTTGGGTTTGGTTTGGTTTGGGGCTTTTCAAGACAGGGTTTCTCTGTGTAGTCCTGGCTCTCCTGGAACTCACTATGTAGACCAGGCTGACCTGGAATTCACAGAAATCTGTTTCTGCTTCTTGAGTATTGGGATTAAAAGGCATGTGCCACCATGCCCGGCTTGAAGGTTTTTTTTGTTTTGTTTTGTTTTTTTAACTAGACAGTGTGAAGAGCCCTTTGACCAAGGACTAAACAGTTTAGTACACTTAGCTAGCTGGAGGTGGTAATGCATAACTCATTCTAGCACTTGGGAAGCTGAGGCAGGGGTACTGCCATGAGTTTAAGGCCAGCCAGTACTACATAGCAATTCCCTTTCTCAAAACCAAAAGAAAATTCGTTCAAGAAAGATATTTGGGGTTGGGTAGTTGAATTACACTTTAGTTAGTTAGTGTGCACAGAATCCTGGGTTCTATCCCTGGCACCACATAAAACCTGTGATCCCAGCACTCGGAAGGTGGCAGAGTCACAAATACAAATACAAATACATCCATGGTAGCAAGTTCAATTCCAGCTTGGGTTACATTAAGACCCTGTCTCAAAAACAGGACATGGTAGCACATGGGCATATATGTTCCTCTGTGTGTGGGGGGGGGGGGGAGAGAGAGTAAACGAGTATGCACACACAGAGGAGCCATATGGAGACTATAGAGGTAGGCAGAAAACAACTTTCCAGGCTTTGCACACACTTTTAATTCCAGTTTCTTAGGAGGCAGGCATATCTCTTGAGTCCAAAGTCAACTTGATGTGAGTATCAAGTTCCAGGGCAGCCACAGCTATAGAGAGAGAGACCCTGTCTTAAGAAACAAAGATAATGGAACAAAATGGCTGGCCCACAATGTAGGACTCTGTTGATGTGACCTGGGCATCTGGTTTTCCTCTGGGGCATCGGAATAAAATCGGTTCACATAACATGACCTCTGGTGAAGGAATTGGAGTTCATGTCTCCTAAGTATTGGATTTTTTTTTTTTTTTTAAAGTGAGGAAAATAACAGTTACCAGTAACACATAAGATTTGGGAGGGTGGGGGTGGGGGTGTTGTCTGGGGCTGGAAGGATGTCTCAGTGGTTAAAAGTACTCGTTGCTCTTGAAGAGGACCAGAGTTTGGTTCCCAGCTCCCACATGGTGGTTCATATTCATCTGTAACTCCAGTTCCAGGGCATCTGATGCCTTCTTACCTCTTTGGATCCCAGGCATGAATGTGCTGTGCATACATACATGCAGGCAAAATACTCATGGACATAAAATAAAAATAAATATTTTTAGATATTTTAAATATTTTATTTTTATTTTATGTATATTGGTATTTTGCCTGCATGTATGTCTGTTTGAGGGTGTCAGGTCCCTTGGAATGGAGTTATAGACAGTTGTGGATTGCCATGTGAGTGCAGGGAATTGAACCTGAATCATTCTGTTCTTAACCACTGAGCCATCCCTCAACTTCATAAAAATATATCTTAAAATGTTTTGTTGTTGTTTTGGAGACAGGGTCTCTGTATGTAGTGGCCCTGTCTGTCCTGGAACTCACTGTAGACCAGGCTGGCCTTGAATTCACAGAGTTATGTCTACCTGTCTCCAGAGTGATAAAAGGCATGCACCACCATGCTTATCTTTTAAAATATTCTTTATTAACAAAATACTTTGTGTATTCAAGCATATGCATGCCACAGCGTGCATATGGAAGTCAGAGAACACTTTGTGGGAGTAATTTATCCTTCCACACACATTAGGATGTACTCATGAGCAGATCCCCAGGGGTTAGACAGACCTACCCTAAGATTGGCTTCCAGAGCATGGAGACAGGTTGTGAGATTTTTTTTTCCTTCCAGTGTATGGGTTCCTGTCACAGCGGGGTAATGGTTAACTCTGTGTGATGACTAAATAAGGTAAAGTAGGGCTGACAGGCTGGCTCGTTGGTTTAAAACAGTTGTTACTCTTACAGAGGACTTGAGTTTGGTCCTGGCTTACAGACTGTTATGAGCTGCTATGTGGATGCTGGGAATTGAATCCAGGTCTTGAGTCTTGTCTGATGACCCATCTCTCGAGCCCTTGGTGTTGTTGAAAACTTTTGCTAAACTGCTCTATTCCATAGGCTTAGGCTGACGGTAGTGGTTTTGATGTCATGTATTTATTGAGAAAATGACTCATGTGCAGCATCTGTGTACCTCATATACCTGTATATACTGTTGAAGTGGTGCATACAAGAGTGCTATCTGTTGCTGAAGGGTTATTCTGTGTTTGTGTTTTTCTTTCAGTGCCACTGAAGGAGAAGAAGCTCATGGAGGTTAAACTTGGAGAGTTGCCAAGCTGGATCTTGATGCGGAATTTCACCCCCAGTGGCATTGTGGGAGCCTTCCAGAGAGGTCAGTGTCTTATGAGTGGCCAGACAAAAGCAGTACTCTAGTCTTTGGGTGTCTTTTTGCAGTGAGTTAGTCTGTCTTGAGATTTGTTGCTTTTGTAGAGGGGGTGATGATGATGATGATGTGGTTAACTCCTGATTCTGTGTTTGCATGAACCTGTTACAGGTTGATTGCAAAGCTGTGCATGGTGGCACAAGCCTGAATCTTTGTGAGTTCAGGGACAGCCAAGGCTGTTACTCAGAGAAACCCTGTCTTGAAATAAAACAAAACAAAAGCTGACTGTGTAGGCAAGGGGAATGGTTCAGTGTGTGATGTGTTTGCTGTGCAAGCATAAGACTTGTGTTTGCATTCCCAGTGCCTATGTTAAAAGCAGGGCGTACCTGTGGTTCCAGCACTGAGAAGCAGAGGCAGGAGGATCCCTCCCAGGAGCTCACTGGCTTCTAGTTAGTCTAGCTAATTGGTTGGCTCCAAGTTCAGTGAGCTACCCTTTCTCAAAGTATGATAGAGATAGCCACCTAATGCTGACCTCTGCCTCCACACACTTTTCTTACATCTGTGAATGTGAGAGCACACACTATCTGCATGAATACACATAAAAAACAACGAAGTCGAGCTCTGAGATGCTTGAGCCTAGGAAATGTTTTGTGTCTTTTGAGGCTGTTAGGCTCAAGCTAGCCTTGAACTTTCCTTCAACCTGCTTCAGTATCCCAAGTAATGGTACCATCATGCCCAGCTCAAAATAATTTTATTGCTTTGAATCAGCGCCTCTGTCTTAGAGAAAACTAAAAAACCAGGTATGTTTACACACACCTGTAATTCTAGCACTAGGAAGCTAGAGGCAGGAGGATCTATATTTCAGTGTCACCTTTAACTATATACCAAATTTGTTGGTTATGATACATGAGACTCTAGTCTCAAAAAGAAAAATCTACAAAGACTTATTTGAGAAGGGAATGAGTTTGCAGCATGATGGTCACCAGCCTGTACCATGCTCATCCTTCTTTAAGCCCTTCCTAAAACATTTCAAAAGGCACATCTTTTAGGCCTGTGCACTTAGGTAAGTACAGGACTGGTCAGATCTTGGGTAGAGTCATGCATGGCCTCTGGCCTCCTCAGGGATTCCCGTTTTCCTAATCTGGCCACCCTATGCTATCAACCTTGTGACTTGGCCTAGCTTGAGGCTTTCTCTCCACCCTCAGAATATTCTGCCTTTTACCCCCATGTCTATTTACAACTGTCCAGGAAATTGGTGTGGTCTATGCTCATAGCTCCTCCCAGGCAATCCTTGCTATTTTAAACTTTTAATGCCTATCAGAACATTCCATTTTGTTGTTGTTCTGTTTTGTTACTGTTGTTTGGATCTCACTGTATAGTCATGGCTGGCATACAACTTGAGATCCCCCTGCCTTTACATCTGTAGTGCCTTGTTATGTGATCGTCTCAAATAGGAGGCCTCAGATTCAGTATGGAACTGAGGATGCCTTGAACTTTCAAACCTTCTGCCTCCACACAGAGTGCACTGTCTCACCTGGCTCTTTCCATTTTTTTCCCACTAACTAGAACATGTTATACCCTCTCTGCTGAGTGCACCTGGCTACTTATATTTAAGGCACTCAATTATGTCATGAAGGGCTTAGTCAACCTAGTTGGCTATGGTGAAGTGTCCCTTAGTGGGGACTGGAATCTGGGACAGAATTAGAGTAAAAGGGTCCCCAGGCTGGAGGTTGGGGTGAAGGAAGAGCAAAGATTAACAAGCTGAGCCAAAACTACAAGGTTAAAGTAAAAAAAAAAAAAAAAAAGGATAGATGCCCTGTTAAATGGGCATAAGCTCTGGGACTCGTCTTGAGTCATGGAAACAGAACTGCATGGAGCATTTGTGCTGTCCACCATCATCAATTAAGTGTACGGTGAGTTGCTCTCAGTCCTAGGGATACCACTGTACCCTGTCAGACACATTGGCAATGAACACCTCCTCTGTTGCAGGTTACGATCGGTATTACAACAAATACATCAATGTGCGGAAAGGCAGCATCTCGGGGGTTAACATGGTACTGGCAGCCTACGTGGTTTTCAGCTATTGCATTTCTTACAAGGAACTCAGTAAGTGCTCTGGTGTGACTCAGCTTCTTGCCACCCAGGAGGCTGGTATTGGCTGGCTTTATTAGATGTGGCAGTCCACCTTGTCAGCAGTGGAGCTTTGAGATGCCCCTTTTCCTGGTCTTCCATCTGAGAGGAAGTTACAGTAATGTGGCATGTATGGCATGGTTTTAAGTGTGGAGCTTATGAAAAGGGACACAGGAAAAGTAAGATGGAATTAGGCTAAAGTTTAGTGCTTGGGAAACATAATAGACATTGCTGAAAACTGGCTTATTCTCCTAGCAGCCAGTGTGAAGAAGGCAGTAGGTTGAGTAGTACGATCCAGTGTCTGTACAGTGCTCTGGCAAAGCACAGCTGTCCTCAGCCTCAGATCTGGGCTGGTGAAGCCAATGGGAGACTGAGAACATCAGCCTCTGACTAGTTTCAAGGCTGTTTTCATAGCAGCACCAACTTCTGCCAGTTTCATTGGACCTGGGCAACATTTGTAGTTGAGATGCTATTAAGGTACCAGTGTAGCCATCTGATGTGGGAAGAACTTAGCCAGATGGCAGGTCCTAAGTCACCAGAAAGAAATGTACAGGATTCTCGTGATTGTGGCCTGCTGCTGTCACTGGAACACATGGTAAGAGACTGTTTTTTCATAACTTTAGAACATGAGCGGCGACGCAAGTACCACTGAAGAAGGGTCACTATGGATGGCACTGCACACCAGAGCATAACCGCCTGTCCCACTCCCATCCATGAAGAACTCAACTGTGGCTGAATCTTCAAATCCTGACTAGGAACTAGTGTCTAATAAAAGGTGACTGACTGGTTCATGTACTGCTTGCTTGGTGTAGTCATTGTTCTGTGCTTCTGTACCCTTGACACACAACCCAGTGCTTTGGCTCATGGAGCCTGTGGGCTCTGCATACCACTGTGTGCTTGGGATTGTGTCCCAGCTCACTGTGGGGTAGCATGTCATCTGGGGTTTCAAGTGCCCAGAGACCTGTCATACCATAAGTACTGTGGCTGTTCAGAGGTGTTACGGCCTTTGGTTGGCAGACATAACATAAAGCATGGGCCCAGACTCATGCATGACAGTTGGGTGTGGGGGCTCTAGACTTAAGTCTGGCTATCCTGAAATTCACTGTGCGGACCAGGCTGATCTCAAAAATGTGGGACACCATACCTAGCTTTTTAAAGAAATCTTGTGCTTGAGTTTTTTCCCTGCACGTATGTGTATGCACATGTACCTGATGCCCATAAAAATTAGAAGACGCTATTGAATCCCTTGGAACTGGAGTTAGTTATGAGCTGCCATATGAGTGCTGGGAATAGAATCCAGGTATTCTATATGAGCAGCAAATGCTTTTAATTACAATTTTGTTCCTTAGCAACATTTTATTTTGTGTATGGGCATTTTTGTCTCTCTCTCTCTCTCTCTATATATATATATAGTACATAAATATGTATATATATCTGCACTATTTGTGTTCCTGATGCTATAGAAGGTAGAAGAGGGTATGAGATCTCCTAGAACTGGAGTTAGATGGTTGTGGGTGCTAGGGATCAAACTAGGAGCCTCTGAAGAACAGCCACTGCTTTTAACTACTAAGCCACCTCTCCTGGACATCTTAACAATGCAGGACATCTTAACAATGCAAGGGATGTGGGGATAGTCTGAATGTCTTCCAACCCTTCCTTTCTGCATGACCACCAGCATGCAGGTAAAATGGCTAGAGTTTAAACTTTGGGATGGCTGTTAAGAGGTGCCAGCCTGCCTGAAGCAAGCTCACCACTCTCCCTGAAGCACTCCCAATTTCTGCCTCTTCAATAAGATTTAAGGCCAACCTACCAATTTTCCTCCTGAGAATGGAGAGGAATGGAGAATACACACTGCACAGAACCTACACGAATGGGGATTGAACAGGTAACATGAGGTACCATGCAAAGTCACTTCTCAACAGCAGTGACTTCTTTTTGTGAGACTGATACCCACTAAAAGGGAAGTTCCTCAGGAGTCACTAAAGTAATGAAACAGGCTAAAAAAACAAGCTTTTTAATCAACTTCATAAAAAGTGTTCTTGTAACTGAACTTGGATAGGCCCACTTGCCCAGCAGGTTGCAGGTGATGGATTCACATTTTCTAGGCTCAAGGATGGGTGGCCTCTGCATGCCACAGGGGTCTGAGTGACAGCACAGAGCTTGCTTGGCAGGAGGTAGGCGCAGATCAGCTGGGTCAGCTATTTAAAGGTGGTCTGCAGCACTGGCTGAAGGTGTACCTGAAGCACTGTCAGGTCTCCACAAGAAAGCAAGCCCAGAAAAGCAGCTCGGCCTGGGATCCTGACTCTAAAGAGCCAGGGCCAGGCCAGGCAGTGGATGCTCCAAGTTTGTCTGGAAGGGCTCCCTTGTTCAAGTCACATTCATAGGCACAGTTTGAGGCTTCAGCTGGACTCGAGAAAGCAGGCTGACCTGGCCACAGCCCCACATGAGCCACCCATCCTCTCCAGGTGCTGGTGTTTAATGAGGCCCCAAGGGCCATCTTCCACACAGGACCAAGAAGTACAGACCTTCCTAGCTTCTCTGTCCCCAAGAGGGCAGTGTGCAAGGAATCCAAAAAATGAGGCACTGATATCCAAGCAAACTGGCTCAAGGGACCCAATTGAAGCACATGTTCCTTCTTTTTAAAAAAGATTACAGCAAAATGATAGGACAGACATGGCCCCTCAAAATGAGCCCCGGCAGGTGTGCCTGTGGCCCTAGCCAGTCCTGCCAGCACTACATTCAGCACCTAAGTGCTTGTTCCCAACAGCAGGGCTCTCAGGCTGCTCCAGATTCCAGCTGTTGTCACTGTCCACTGAGAAAGGCCAAATGCCCTTTGGTGCATCTGTTGGCGTAATGTCCTTTTTCACCACACTGGGAAT